CTGCTCTGACAGCATGTCCATGCTGACAGATACCTTCGATCAAGACATGTTTGGTGGAAGAGCAGACACCTTTGTTCAGGACGTGTTTGGTGACCAAACTTGACACAGTGTTGAGATGATGTGGCCCTTGATTAGGCTTTAGCCTGGGCTAGGGAGAACTACTTGTGAGGTCCTTGTCTGAACTACAGCATAACTTGTGTGATCTGAGACAAACACTTTTGTCTCCCTCAACTGCATTTCTCCTTGTTCAAAGGGAACAGTCACACTATCCCTGTAGGGTAAGGCAGCAAGAACCTAAATACTTCAGTGATTTCAAGCATATTTGAAAATTTCTGATAAGCTCTTTGTTATTTGAAGGGTTGTGAAGTTCAGTCTGCCTGGACAGCATGCTGAATATTGTTTGATACAGTGCTAAAAATGCTACAAAACCTATACTAAACTTTCAAATAAGACACTTTTTATATTGCATCTGCTTCTTCTTTTTCCCTGTTGCTCCAGGCTGCCGAGTTTGTGGCTGGGCAAACCCTGATCTTGTTTGCGAACATTTTAGTGATACAGTGACATCTTGTGGCCCGTAGCTGTGAGCAGAGTGACACAGAGCCCGAGCTCGTGGGCTGTGCCAGCACCACCCTTCCGTGACCACCGAGCAGACACATCGTGCTGTTCCTCAGCCTGGCAGTAAGGAGGAGCCCCCCTCATATTTTAACACGATTTTGCATGGTATTGTTATAAGCAGATGTCAGAAATAAGCAGTTGGTGAGGGTGTTCGGTGGTTGTGCATGCAGTTGGAAAGCTGCATTTGAGGGGTAGTTAAACATGTTGTTGGGCGAATAGACCGTAAGGTGGTGTGTTCTGCAGTGTTTTTCTATTAGTGCTTCATATGAGAAAATAGGAAATTTTCTTATTGTGTCTGCAGTTAGGTGAGAGGAGCTGTAGCACCTTGCAGAGCAGGGATAGAACAAAACTGATTTTTGATCAAGTAGAAGCAATAGTCTAGATAGAGAATTTCTGTTCTTTAACTCCAGGTGAAAAATTTCCAAGTGGTCCCTTCCTGGAGCCAGATATGTGTAGGCTTTCAAGACTCACAAGATGAGGGTTAGTCACAATGATAGAGGCTGCAGAAGAAGCAAATAGATAAGAATACATAAAATAAATAGCTGTCCTCTAAGATGGAGAGAGAACAGTCCAACTCATCACTGTAAAGCCCCTGCTGTAGTGAATACTGAGTCCAGTTCTGGCACAATTCAAGACAGATACAGACCACCTAGAGAGTGTGGGGGAGTGAGAATGACCTGAGAGGAAAGATGGAAAGATTTGGTCTGATTTTTCTAAAGAAGAAAAGACCGATGGGAACTGTAAGTCTTCAAATACATGAAGAGACAGTGTACTATTTAAATTGTATAGGAATTTCTGGTATAGCCTTTGGCATAGGAGAACAGCATGGAGAACACTTTGAATTGCAGAGGGGAACGCAGCTCTGCATTTGCGAATTATCCAAGCCAGCATTTTCCAGTGTCTGCTGGTTTTTGCAATTCCAGCGAAAAGCCTCTTGCATGAACAGCAGTTGCTCCAGCAGGGCCACGGAGCCCCTGCTGTCCTCTAGATGGTGCTGAGGGACTTCAGGCAAGATCCAGAATGTCCCTTAGCAAATCGCTTAGTGCAAATGCACACACATGCAAACTGACAGTTGCCAGGTAATCCACGCCTAGTTCCTTGGGAGTCTCTTCTTGGTCTTCCATGGGATCACACAGAATGTTTGTCTTTGGTTAGGTCTGAAAATTTTAAAAGACTTGGGAATCTTCCTTCATTTCTGCCTAGACTCCAGCACTAGTGTGGAACAAAAAGTAAAGTCTTTAGGGTCAAGAAACCTGCTGCCAAGCTGCCAATACCTCCAGTGCCAGAGTATTCACCAGTTTTAAAAGGGGCGTCTTTTGAGCTGGTGTTCCGTGTAAGGAACTAAGACTTACATTTAGCAAGTTTTATCTAGCTGCAGATGGTGTGTTAGCTTGATACTAGATAGCTCTGCCCAGCTGGTTTTAGTGATCTTTTCAGCTTTCTGTCTAAAGAGAAGTCAAAGTCTGGGGAGCTTTTGTGGGGGAGAGGATTTTTTTTTCTTAATAGACAAAGAGCTTTTATACATTTTCAGCCTGCTGGGATTTGAACTGCGTGGTGGATCTAGCCCAGCCCAGCAGCTCCTTTCCAGCGGAAAGGAAATAATTGTATGAGATTTATTTAATGCTTATGTGATTTGTATGGATATATTATAAAATACAAATCAACTACAGTTAATTGACCAAAGGGCAGTCAACATGTGCCTTGCAAAGAAGTGTAAAATAATTTCAAAGCTCTAAGTAGTCGCAAACTTTTAGATGAAAAAATAGATAAACTCCAAAACTACAAGCTCTGCTCCACCAAACTAACAAACACAATACTACTTTCAAGGTAACTAGGATAAACATAAAATGAGGAGTATGTATATAGAGGTTTCTATAAAAGATGAGGTAGGATTATCAGTGTTTTGCCAATATTTGTGAAAAACAAGGCTATCTCTCTCCAGAATTTCAGCCAACTTTCAGGTTCCCGTCTGGGGCAGTGGCCCCAAGTAGATGTGCAAGGCAGAGCGTAAGAACAGAGCAAATAAGCTGTGTTATTCTCTATTTTTTTCCCTGTTTCCTGCAAATTGCAGCTCTGGCTGTGGTTTCTGTGTATTCAGCAGCCCTCAGTGGGTCTCACTTCCCTGAGTTAGTGTGCTCTTGCCGGAGCCAATGTCAATATTTAACATCCACAGCATCCTTTGATAAGGAACGCCAGGGCTTAGCTGCTTGCTGTGTTTCTTTCTGTTTCTTTTTGAACTTTATTCCTTCTAATCTCATTAGATGTCTCCTAGATCTTGAGTTGGAGAGAGAGCAAACAGCCTTTTCCAATTTGCTTCTCCATGGCTGTCTCTCAATTTGAGTCTGCCCTGAAAACCCCTCTCTCTATCCTGCTGCCTCATCACGGATCCCTCACCTGGCTCATTGTGTGTCATGGAACCAAAGCTCTCCAGCCCAAACTCTTCACACTGAGAAGTCGTGGGATAAAACGGAAGGTCTTTGAGGGTTTAGTAGTCAGCGAGAGGGTGGGGAAAGAAGTCATTTTGTCCTGGTTAGTGGTGGAGTCTGTGGGAATCGGTGTCCGTACCTGTGCTGTCCGACGTATTCGTGTTGAAAGCTCAGCTGGAAGATGAGGCAATGTGTGAGGAGACCAAGTTTACTGATAGTAGTGAGGGGAGTAAAAATGGAAACAGAGGAGGATAACTTGCAGGAAAGGGGCTGGATGTAGCTTAGCCCAGGCAGGCTACTGGAGATTGAAGTCATTTTCCATCTGAAAGAGGACAAGGGAGGGAAATCCTGTACATAAATCTATAGTGAAGGCTTGCAATAGTATGGTTGTACAGCTGAACGCAAATGCAAAAGAATGAAATCAGAACAGAAGATCTTTTCTTGTTTCCTTTAATTCTAGGCTGTTGTTGTATAATGCAGTATAGACACAATCTTGCTGTGGCGAATGTAATTACATGATTAAAGCTTCTGCCCTTGTGCAAGTGGACCAAAGAATGAACTGAACCAAACTTGTTTTTTCCTATTTCCTGAATGTTAAACTCTGCAGGGAAAATATCACTGCGAATGTTTCCCATTTTTCTGTACCTGTGTGTTTTCTCTTTCGAGTATTTGGCCCGACAAACAGTATGGGCAAGTGCTGCTTCACGAGACCCTTTACCTTGATGTATGTTCAGAGAATTTGGCTCGCTCTGTTGGTCGGCTTGCGTCTGGTGGGTTAAGCAGTGCATGAGTTGTGATATTTGATGTAAGGGAAAGTGGAGTGTTAGCTGTACTTTGCATGCAGCCTCTGATCAGACGTTAGACGGTGCCACCGGAGAGCATGGATTCATCTTTTCAATGCAAAACCTGTACATATGTGTACGTATGTAATTTGGTCCATTTACAACTTGGAAAAATAGACCTTTCTGGGGGTTCAGTGCAAGATTCCAGAACAAAACTGTGGTCTCAGCCTCTCAAAACCCTGGTCTGCAGCAGCAGTTCTGCAGTGAGATCCTCCTGCTGAGCCTGACTGTGCTCTTGGTTGCTGCCTCAGCTCCACTGCGGTTTGGTGAACAGTTGCAGTGGCAGCCGAGGCTACCTGGTGTTTTTGTCTTAGAGCTGAATTTGCAGGGTGCTCTGAACCCTGGCTCCAACCAGATGAACTTGAAAATGAGCATGGGAGTTTGTGGCCCACAACCCAGTATTAGGCAGAGATGTTTAAATTGCCACATGAAGAGTTTCCAAGACACGTATTTGCTCCCTGCCTGTTCCTGGCAGGCTTTTAAATGTGTTTTGTGCAGAGGGGGAAATTAGTGGGTGGTATCAACACAACAGCCATGCAGTGAGTCTGAACACACAGCTTAAAATTCAGACCACAATTTTCAAAGTGAAAATTTCAGAATTTCATGTCAGACCAAAAAATGTCTTTTAGAATAAAGTTTATCTTCAGAGGATCTACTGAAGGAGCTAGAGGAGCTCTATCCTCTGAAAACTTGGCTTGCAATGGGCGGTTTGTAGTTGCAGACCTAAATATGCATTCCTTATGAGGATCCCAATCAGATTGCATGGCACCAGGAGTGGAGTAATTAATACCCAGGAGACTGGGCTTGGCTTCCAGGCAGGCTTTACATTCAGCAGCCTTTGTTTAGCCTCTGATACACTTTGTTCATCTTGGAGGCCGACAGCCTTTAGGGAGCTGGAGAAATTCAGCTCTCCAGTGTAGACAAGACTGGCTGTTGCTTAAGATTGATTTGGAAGTTAATATTTGTAAATAAAACGAATTTGCAACAAACTCAAAGTACGTGCAAAGTTGCTCTCAGCTTGGCCTTTGCCTCCCTGCTCAGTCCCGCTCTGCAAACTGGGCAGCGTTGTGGAGGTTCACAAGATGGTGCTGTTTTGGTTCCCTGTGGTACATAACTGCCCTATTTTTAAAGTATAGTTACCTGCCTACATATGTTTTATGTCTTGCTTAGATTTACAGACTCCTATTTCCATTTCTCCTGAATTCTTCTGGCTTGATTGCTCTCATCTCTGAAGTATGTGGAAGTGCTCCCTTCCCAAAGGGAGCCCTGCTGGTTATCAAATGAGACGGGATCAAAAGCTGTGGATTGTGTTTGTGATGCGTATATTCTTGTTTGCTTTGCAGAAGTGAGATTTTGGCAGGCTCTACTTTATGTGTTCAGGTGTGCTTTTGAAAAGCAGGAGTGAGGGCGAATGCAGTGAGGCTTGCTCCAAACTGACACTCTGCAATTCTCATTTCAGCTTGAGACCTTTGATGGTTGTATATGTTTAAATCTCTCAGTCTCTGAAGCAATTTCTGTTTCTGAGCTAAGAAAGATTTAGTGTAAAATGGTGACTGCAAGTGCACGGAGAGGACAAGTGTGGTTGGGTAGGTTTTTACTTTGCTTCTCTTCACTGAGATCGCCAGTGAAGTAATGTCAGCAGAAAAATCCTTTTTGAAGTCTGGTTCTTTTGCAGCTTTAGTAGAACATGACTGCAGAGAGGATGCTTTGTCATGTGTACTTGTACAGGGGTGCTGTAATTAATACTGCACACAAGAAAGATGAGGATTTTGTAGAGCAGTGTCTAAAAGCTGGAAGAGAGAATGCTTGAATGATACTCATTGCTCTAAGCTACAAGCTTTTTGCTTTTTTTTCCTTCAATAGAAGAGGTTTATAGTCACTTTCCAGCTGAATATGGGGGTCAGACTTCATTATCATTCCTGAAGTGCACATTCTTTAACTCCAGTCCTGTTCTCTGAAGTCAGCTTAAAGGCTTAGTTTAGCCCCTGTGGTTTCCTAGAATGAAGAAACCATTTAACAACCATGTTAGTGATTTCATGTGGCAAGCAGGAGCAAGTTGGTGGAAAACAAACCACCTAGGCAGAACCTAAGGAGTCTGTTATTATGGAAATACGCTGCTCTGTAACTGTTGCCCAGTACAGAACTCTCCCTTTCTTTTTCCTTGGAGAGGTAGATGGAAAATGAGTGTAAAAACATTGTGCCCAATTCATCTTTGCGCTGTGCAGCTCTGGTCTAGGGAATTTTCCAGTGTAATGGCCTTGCAGTAACTCTGCAAGACACTCTTCTCCCTTGACACTCTGGTGCAATGTTAAGACTGGAGGGAGCAGAAGATGAGTGGGGTGAAGTCTTGCAAATTCCTGCAAAGCCTCATAAGGGAAGACATTCTGTAAGTCCCAGTTAAAAGGTCTTTGCAGGCAGAAATCAGCTGAGCCCCCGCCCATCTGGGCATATTCAGGCTGCACTCTGCCTTTTCCTGTCCCGATTCCCATGCGGGGGTGAGTCTGAAGCACTGTTTTCATTTGGGGTACATCATAAAGACTGTATGTACTTACTTATTTTCTTCCAATTTTAGTCTTTGTACAACTGGGGTTGTCCGTTTACATATCAACAACTGGCTGGAAGTGAGTTTCTGCCTGCCACATAAAATCCATTACGTTGCAACAAGCTTTATACCCCCCGAAGCAATTGAGAGGAGTCTAAAATCTATCAGGTAAGAATGTGCTCTGTCCTTCCAAGCGGGTCTGTCCTTGTTGCCTTCACAACGTGGTCCTGCACATGGTTTTGCTGGCACAGTCAGAGAGATGCTCTTCTTTCCTACTCACTGTATTTACAGCTTTTTTTTTCCTGCAAATGTAACTAACTTTTGCTTTCTTCCTTCCTGCTGCTCCGTTCTATATTTAAGTGCACTTGAACAGTCTCCTGTCTAGTTCTGCATGGTTTACTGTCTGCTTGCCAGCCCAGTGCTCTTTTTTTTTTTATTCCAGTCACTGACATGTCCAGTTATCATCGTCTGTCTCCTTTTAAGGGGAGCATCTTATCTTGTGGCATAAAAATGAGCTTATTTTGAACCCACTTACAGCAAAGGGTCTTATTAGAGGTTCTTCTTTACCCGTAGATTGACCAAGTATTGTGATCTGGGAATAACTAAGCCTTCAGGAAAAGCTGCAATTTATTGCACAGATGTATTCCTTTTTTTTTTTTTTTTCTGCAGGCCTTACCATGCCTTATTACTTCTAAATGATGAGAAGTCATTGCTTAATGAGCTCCCGTTGGACTGCTCCCCTGCCCTGGTGAGAGTAATTAAAACTACCTCTGCTGTGAAGAATTTGCAGCAACTGGCTCAAGATGCTGACTTGGCATTACTGCAGGTATGGGGAATTGTCAGCAGTAGCTGAAATCCCTTTAATTCACCAGGCGTGGGTTTCTGTGGAACATGAACCTGTCAGTTGTCTCAGTGTGAGCGGAGTGCACAGAGGAAGCCAGAGTCTCAGAGCGTGGGGAAAGGTTGAGAGACAAAGATGACAGTGCTGGAGAGTGAATGACAGTGCCCATGACAGTGACATTGCTGGAGAGTCAACTGCAGCCATGTCCAAATCACTGAATCACAGATGGCCATAGAAGGGGTATCTGGATGTCTCTAGTCCAGGCTACTGCCCTGAGCAGGTCTAGAGTAAATAGTGTCTCAACATATGTCACAATTTCTGTTCTTCTACACAGCTGTCTGCTTTGTGAAGGGAGGCATCCAAAGCACAACTGAAGGTTTACAGCTGCCATGGCCAAATCCTGCCTCTTTCTTTGGCCATTTGCTGCTTTCTTGCTTGGACAAGAACACACTCTGTCACCCTACACTGGAATTCCCATGATCTTTTGCAAAAATCTGGCTAAGCTACAGCTTGTAACCAGCCAGCTGTCATAAAGATGTGTAAGGTGGCAGAGTGTCCTGTGCAGGATATTGTACAAGGAATAGGAGCCTGGAGAGGGTGAAACCTCCAGGAGGTGACTGGGTGGCCGGGGAACAAGGAAGACAGAAAAGGAGTTATCTTGGTAATAGATACCTGTATGGCCCCTAGGAGGAAGCTCTGGTTAGAGTTGGGCAAAACTTTTGAGCCAGTGTCTCTAAACCAGCAGCTTTTTTGGGGTGCCTTTCCAGTTTTGACAGCAGGTTCTTATATCTGAGCTCACAGGGTGATGTAACAAGCCCCTGAGAAGGGAAGTTTGTATGGTGGAGGGAATGTACCACTGGTAAACGCAGGAGCCAGCAGGCCACCAAGAAACGGTTGCAAACACACACAGTTGTTGTGGCCTGTTCGTTGTTGGACCTGATGATTAAGTTGGATGTTTCTGGTGCACGGAGAGCTTAGCTAAGCTTCCAAGAAGTTGATCCACACCAGAGGACACAGTCTGTAAGAAAAGGGAGAAGAACATGGGTTGTCATCTTGGGTGGGTCTGATCGTGTCTCTAGGCCTTCTCTTTCTCAAAGAGAAGTCTGTCCATACCTGCTTGCAGCAAGCTGTGGTGTTGCTTGTCATTATACAGCTATGGGATGAACTCTGGAAATTCCCTACTGCTTCTGGAGTTTTGTTTTCCACCAAAAAGCCAAGTTAAATGCATCTAATGATAGGGGTTGGTTTTTATATGTCTCCTAGATGCTATTTATGTGGCTCTTTCAGAAGCATTAGCAACCGCCGACTTGTATAACATATTAAAATATTTTGTTATTGGAGTATCTCCATGCATTAAAAAGACAGCGTCGCTTTCCTTTATGCCTGTGTTACAGCAGAGGCTCATTCTTTTGTTTTAACTTCCATGTATAACGCTTAATGCATTTTGTGCATAAAAAATGGGTTGTTGTGGCATTAAAAATAACTAAATTTCTACTCATACAGTTTGAAGAAATTCCTCTGAAGCAGGAAATACTAAATTGCTTAGAAATGTGAAACAAACCTCTGGAAATTCATAACCTTGCCAAGTGCTTTTGATGTGTCACATGTTATATCATATCCTGAATTTCTTTTGAAGGGAAAGTGAAAGGATGGAACATTATTCTTTTTTCAGCTCAAACCAGGCTCTGCTGTCGGTGTGTGGAACTGTTGCTGAGAGCCCGAGTTTTGCTTTTTTACTCTCCTAATTTTGTTTTTTTTTCCTTGATGCAGGTCTTCCAGCTTGCTGCACATCTTGTTTACTGGGGAAAAGCAATTATTATTTATCCACTGTGTGAAAACAATGTCTACATGCTTTCTCCAAATGCCAGTGTGTGTCTGTAAGTAGAAGGACAGTGAGTGCTTGTAGTAAGAAAGATGTGAGCAGTGCAGATACTCCTTCCTTCCCTCTCTTCCTGGAAGCAGAGTGGGATTTTTCTTGTACAGAAGTTGTATAACAAATTGTACAAAGGACTGTACAAAACACAAACCATTGCATGTGCTTGAACTTGCAAAGCCACAAAAGAGTTTGTCTGGGGTAGGGAGGAGTATGGCAGTAGATTAGTATCCTTCTGTGGTGACATGAGCCTTGGAAACAGTATTTACCCTGGGGCCTGCTTTTAGTATTTTTAGTGTGCTTGGTCACTGTATGTCCATATCGGGCTAGGTTATACGAACCTGAAGCAATGTGGAAACACAAAGTCAAATTTAGAATTAAGTTGAATCAATGTTTCACAGCACGGACTTTGAACTAGCACATGGTAACAACTGAATGATTTAAGAGCAGCAAATTAAGGAGTTGTTGCCATCACTATTTTATTGTTGCCCGTGATAGCATTTTTTGCTTATGCGCTTTCTAGTGCACACCAGGTAAGGTGACCAGTGTGAGGGAAGATAGCGGCAATGCAAGGAAGATGTGGAGGCAGTGGTGGGTATTGCTGCTCCGCTGAACATCTGCAACCGGTGCTGGATTTGGAAACATTTTTAGAATCAGAGTTGGAACTAGATTATAGGAAAATAGTTTTAGATCAACACTCCTGTGATGGAACTATTAAAGTAGGGCTGGAAGGGACCTTGAGATCACTTAGGAACTGCTGTGCCAGTGTCATATATGGCAGCAGTTTATTCAGCTGTTCTTGGTGGATGATATCCTAAGACAGAAGGTTTTCCTGATATTTCACTTGGCTTTCCCTTGTTTCGAATCGGTCATAATGTTTGTTCTTCTCAGCGTAAGCATGGAAAAGAGTCATGTCTGCAACTGCATTTTCTGTATTATTCTGCCCATCCCCAGTCTTATCTTCTATAGACTGCCCATCACCACTTCCTTTGATCAAAGACTGCTCTAGTCTAACTTTTAATCAGTTTTATTATTTTCCACCAGATTCTATCCATATCTTGACTAAGTACTGCAGGTGAATGCAATGGCAAGATGAAATTATATCTGTTTCTTGGTTACTTTTGCACGATACAAAGTGTTGTAAACTGTACTTAACTGTTTTTCTAGACCAGAGAGAACATTTGTGTTTCTTGGTTACTTTTGCACGAGTTTTGCAAGTGTTGTAAACTGTACTTACCTGTTTTTCTAGACCAGAGAGAACATTTCCTTTGGGAATTGGCACTTCTCTCATGTATAAATGCAGAAACAATACACTGACCAGCAGCATAAAACTGATGTCTGCCTTTACTCCCTTTCTGTAGTTACTCTCCGTTGGCGGATGCGTTTTCCTGTCAGTTCCGGGGCCACAATCTGCCGTCGATGCTGTCCAAGTTCTCCCTCCCAGTTTCACTCTCGGAGTTCAAGAATCCTCTGGCACCACCAGTTCAAGAGGTGAGACAGGAGCTAATGCTGATGTGAGCAAGGAGCAGTGTTGCTTCTGCAGTATCTAGTATCTAAGCCTACGATTGCAGGTTTAAAATGTGCCCATTATTATGTTTCTGAATGTAAGATACGTTGTTTCATGTCCAGGTGCCAAAAAACTTTGACAGTTATCAAGATGAAACTATGTGAATGATCTGATGATCTGTACCAAAAAACAAAAAAAGTTCCTAAATAAAAATGTTGCTTTTTCCTGAGAGATGTCATAGGGAAAAATGAAATTCTTTTGGGCTGTTGAGAACGATCATAAATTAGTAGGGCTCAGTGAAAATTCATGGATTCCTCCCAGTTACAAATAAAAAACCCCTATTTAATTATATTTTATTGTATATTGCAGCTATTTCAATTCACAGTCTGGGTTTCAGACAATGCAAGCTGTCTATCCACTTAGCTTTCTACATGAAACTCAAATTGCTTAAAGGCAAATCCAGGCAGCAGGCTCAGCGTGTAGTCAACTAAAGTTTGTGTGTTACAATATTAGCATTTCAATATCAATGGATCTGGCATTTGCCTGTTATTGCTTTGCACAGATCATGGCTTGGGGGTGGATCTGGGTATTGGTGAAATGTGAGGAAGAACTAAATAATGTGAGGCCCACTGGCTGCTGCTGGGGCATCTCCAGTCGAGGGAGCCTGGACATCTGAGCGCAGCTCGGTGCAGCAAAGGGAACGCAGGCAGATTTCTTTAACTGATTTCTTGTAGTGTTGTTCGTTAGCCTTCGTGCTTTGACAGCTTGCTGTCTATTAAATTAGCTGCTGCTCAAGCATTTAAAAGATTGACATCAATTGTGCACTCAGGCAAAAGACGAATTTGTTGTAATTACAGTTTGGCAGAGATTATGATCAGAGATAAAGATAACTATTTATGTAGCTTGTAATCTCAGTAGTATGTATTGGTTAGCTGCCATCTTTGGCTACTTTTTTGTTGGTACTTTACTGTGTTTCAAAAATATAAACTGAATTAACAGCATTAATTTTATTTTAGCTGTTGTAGCTTTAGGAGGCATTTTTACTCTCAGTACTCTTTTCAGAATTAATTGTTTGCCTAACGGCTCTCCTTAAATACTTCTGGTTGTTCTCAGAAATCTTACTTTTGTTTCAAATACATAAATAAAGTCTGCTGCTTACTGCTGCCGTTATGGGAAAAATCTGGAAGTAATAGCATATGTTTGCCAGAGTTGCTGGATTGCAAGAGTGGCTCTTTTGGAGCAGACATCTCTCTGATACTCACTGGCCACGGTGGGTCTCTAAAGGTGGAAAACAACTTGTTTTATCATCCTTTCAGCAGCTGTGATACTGTGAAAAGCTATGGAAGTGCCTCTGGCACTGCCACTGGGGACAGGGGAACGGGAGTAGCAGAGGCCTCAGATGGTGTCAGCGGGATGCGTGCTGCTCATAAGGGAGATGGCTGGGGCCTGCTGGCCCCACAGGAGGCTTCGTTGGCTTCATTTTCATAAAGCCGAGCGTGCCAGACCCTGGGGGGCTTTGGGACTAGAGGAAGCCTTTAGAGGTTTTCATATCAGGCCATTGATGCAGAAGAAGGGTTTGTTTCCATGTTGATTTAGTTATGGAGGGCTCTTTGTATGTTGTTTTGTCAGGAACTTGCCTTTTAGGGGGGAGCAATCCAACCATGCCCCGGGGTGGTGAGGCGCCGCTTGTAATTCAGAGATCTAGCTGATAGAGCAGCCAATCTGATGAAACGTGAGTGGGGTTTTGTTCTCTTGTAGCAGTAGAAGTTCCTGCACTCTGAACTGTAAATATTGTTAAATTGTATTTGCCTTGCCTTTGGGAAAAAACAACAAAGTCTGGACCTTTCACCGTAATTTTGTTCTCTGTGTATTTAGGAAGGGATTTTTTTTCTTTTTAACTTTGAAGAACTTTGCTAGTGATCTGTTATCTTGGGCTTTCCATCATGCTGACAGTACTGTCTCTGTATTTCTGAAGGTCATCTGTACTGGTAGGTTATGTTTTTGTAGAAACTGTTACGGTCTCATGGCATCTACCCCATCTGATGCTTGTCTTAAGTGTGGGATTGGTTCCCTCCTTTGGCATGTGCTTCTGAATGGGCAGAAAATATGAAGGCTGTAAAAGCTTTCCTATTTTGTCTAGTGATTTCCTGCTGTTCTTCTACAACGTCATACTTCTTTATTATAAAGAGGACAAAGTCATTTTTGTTTGCTGGCTATTAAATGGGTAGAATTGCTCCGTTTCTTTGGGTGCATGAAAAAATAGGACACTGGTGTTTTTATGTATGGGATGCTGTAGCATTTGTTGGTTGGCAGGAGATGCCACCAACCTGCAGTACTTCAAGCAAGTCAGGACTGCCTGGAAAGTTGGAGCATGTCTACCTTGTGCCCCTGGTCCTCTGCCTTGCACATAGGTGGTAGGTGGTCAGTGGTATCTGCCAGAGTGGCCTGTGCCCACAGACATGCCCTGCGTTAGAGACAGGACTTTTTCTTGATCCTTTCTTTTTGATCTTTTTCTCCTGCCCATGACAGCAAGCTGAATATTGTAGTTGAATCCTGGGGTTATTGTATATGTATCATATATCCTGTGCTTAGAATTTGCAGGGTTGCAGGTGTACATATTGTGCTCTCTTTATTACCTTCCATTTCGCTGCCTTTAACCTGTCCTGCTTGAATAGAAATGTTGTTGCAGCAGCTTGAGCCCTCTAATTCAGACTGATCTAATGGTGCCTTGGAGCTGCAGGAACGAGGCACTCTGTGTGTTCCTGCCACATTTATTTTCTGCCAGGTTAGCAGGTGGCATGTGACAGTCATTTGACAGAGTTGCTAATGATATTTAACAACTCAGGGTAGGGAAGATAAGAACCAGCTATGAGGAACTGCAGGACCATCAGTGTCCAAAGCTGATAATTGAAAGGTGGGAATAACAGGCGGATCTTTAGCTATAAAGTTTTCTACTCTGAGCTGATTTTTTTCTGCTTAGGAGTGAAATCTTGGAGGTCTGAGTTAGACATTCCATTAAAACAGGCTATTCTGTGTTTGGCAGTGGCAAAAAAAAAATGGCCATTGGTTGTAATAAGGAAAGGAATAAAAGCCAAAATGGATGATACTGCACAGCAAGCTCAGGCAGTTCTGGTGTCAACTCCAAAGGCTACAGCAGAACTTGGCAGGGTACAGAGGAAGGGAGAGCAAAGGTGGAAAAGTGTCTGGATGAGAAGCAGTTCTCTTTGGCATGAAAGAGAGATAGGGCAGAGATCTCTATATATGAAGAAGGTGAAGGGGGTCTTTGCTGTCCACTGTCCTTTCCAGTAACAGAATTGGGGTGAGCCAAAGGGAGAGAGCAGATGGAAAGAGAAAGCAAAGAGGTGGCTTTTACAGTACATGAGGGGGAACTCCTTTTTTTCCAGGATGTCACAGGAGTACCTCTGTGGTTTCAAAATTGACTTGAAAAAACCATCGAAGAGTCTCTAAGGGCTGTTAAGAGGGGAATTACAGCTTCTGCCTGCGGAGGTCTCGATCTGCAAGTGGTTGGAGCCTGGGGAACTCTGCCGTGTTCGTCCCCCCTTCCTTGGCCACGCGCTGCAGGCTGCAGTCAGACAGGAGGCTGCCTGGCCTCCCTCGTTGCCGTGCCCTGGTGCAGCCTCTGGCCTCGCTGGCCGGGAGGGCTGGCGGGCGCTGCCGCTGCTTCTGGCCGAGGGCAACCAGCGACCAGGGTTGACTGAGGCAGAGCGTGTCTGTCTGTGCGAGCCCTGGTTGTGGCCAGGGTTCCGCAGGGTTTGCTAAAGGAGTCTAGTAGCTCTCTCACAGTCAAAGCCGTATTGAGAATTTAGATTTTTAAGCTCTGCCACTGTAACTTTTTACAGTGCTATAAACTTGCTGTCACTTTTCATAATAATGAGGATCCTCCCAGCTCTGCTGTACAGCTGCAATACTGAATGGCTAACTATGTCTGAGTAAGTTGCTTTGAATGTAGTCCAAAAATACGTTCCTTAATGTTGGGGAGAGGATATGTATGTGGATTGAGGGCAATATCAGCTGCTCGGGCCTGCCTCTGGCTGTCTCGACCAAGAAGGTTTGAGATGATGTACAGTGGCTAAGGGCATGAAGGGTCTCAGCAAGCACATTAACATTTCATCTCAGAGCTGCTTTGGCCATTTATCTTCCTGTTCGGAATCATTCTGTTTTCTTCTGCCTTAGAAGAGTGTGAGTTCTAAAGAGTATAGTGAACAATTCTGCCCATAAGAGAATCTGCTTCGTCTCTGAGCAGAGCTAACAGCTTTTTGATCCTTTTCCTGTTGATAAGCTGCAACGGCTTTTCTCATTGTAGTGGTATTAGCTTAAAGTATAGGAGAGCTGTAAGCTTTGATTTTAGGATCATAATAGAACAGTTTATCTGAGATTACAGTCGTGTTTGAAGACTCTCTTTTAAATTCCTTGGAAAAAAAAATGGATCTAAATATAATCTAAGTCAGGTTGTACATTTATGGGTGGTCTTTCTCCAAAGATGCTTGTAGGAGGAAGATACCGTTTTTTGCATACATAAAGAGAAGAGTTCAGTTTTGATAAACAACGTGTGTGGCTGTGGGCAGAGATGCCCATGTGGCTCCCAGGTGTGTTTTGCTGTGTCCCTGTCCCGGTCTGCCATTCCTGGAATGTCCGGAGCTGATCCGAACATTAGAGCTAAGCAGTCACTGCTGACATAGAAGGGCGACCCAGACACACAAGGGACACTGCTCCTTGTCAAGTGAGTTGTGGAGGGCTTGGGTGTGCACATGTGCGTGTGTTTGCACGTGTGCACGTGTGTGTGCAAGCACTCAGAAGAAGAAAGAATTACAGCGTGTGGTTCTTGAAGCGTCTTGTGATCCAGCTCTTACCTGTTTCAGAAGAAGATACATGGTCTCTCTTCCTTGCTTTAAACATGCACTAACAGGGAGGATCTTTCCAGTGTATCCGTGTGAATGAGATGCCGTGTTTCCTCCCTGCATGCCCTTCACCACAGCAGCTCCTTAAAATAACACATATTGCTCTTGCTATTTTAGCAATCTAATTCTTCCCTTGACCAGGCAGGAATAACTGTGGGAAAAAAAGCCGATGGGAAGATATGACAGCTCTCCTTGCACAAAACACATTCACTCTTCCAGTTTTGTTTTAATAAGTCCAGCCATGCTGTTAGGATTCGGGCAGCCAGTAGATGAGGCCTCTGCCTTACACATGAAGACAACTTGTAGTTTGCAATTGCCCAGTGGAAAATGAGCGGGTACGTGAGGGGTGGGAGCAGGGGTGGGAGCAGGCAGGGAGCTGCATGCAAATGCTGAGTAGACTGTTGTGGTTTTTGAGAGACACACTACGAATGGGACTGTTCTGCAGGGCATCTGGAAGATGTTAGGAGTCACGGGAGCTTCTGTTGGACGAGGGAAGGAGGTACAGCTTAGGTGCATTTATAGTCAACTAGACTAGCTGTGAAATTAGGGCTTTTCTGTGTGGCGGTTTAAAAAAAAATGCATCTTTCAAGGTCTAAACGGAGGGAATAGTTTCGGCCTCTTTACCAGAGTAAGAATTCTGAGTTGTCACAAAGTGATTAAAACAGTGATATTAAAGAACGATATATGTTTTGACCTGCATTTAAAGGGGTCTTCAAAGTCTGTTTCATGCAAAATAGAGGATTGTTTTAGTAGCTAGTTTGTTTTTCGTAAAAGAGGATGAATTGAATGATAGGAGAACTTGATATATTTGAGCAAATATCCATTTATCACAACAACTATGAAGATCTCATTTTATTGACCTAGTGCAGCATTGACATCTCAAGCCTGATTTTGAAGGTTTTGAAGATTTAATGTGCCGGATTAACTAGATAATCTGGGGTGGAGAAAGGGGGACCATGCACTTCATATACTGTGTTTTAAGTAGAGGTGTATCCTTGTGTGGTGAGAAACACCAAGCTAGGAATGAGCACTGCTCTGTTGTTGTTTTCCCTTCCCTGAAGCTGTTGCTAGGACCAGTTATCCTGGCTTTTTTGTTTTCTTTTTGGGCCTGGAGAGGAAACAGCCTTAACAAATCCTGGCAAGGAACACATTTTCTTTAACACGTTACTCAAGACTTTTACAAATGCTCCCTTTGATTCAAGAGCGAAGAGAATAATGAGGGTCAGATCTTGTCCCTCCCAGGACCTGTCTCAGACTGCCCAGATGGGCTGACGTCTACAGGCCGTGTCCTCAGAAGCTGCTGCACGTTCTCTGCTTTTGTCAGTAAACACAAAGCTGGGTATTGTTAGCGGTGGCTCCCGAGCAGCCCTGCACGATGACACCCTGTGGCTTCGTGCGGGAGCTGCTGAGCGGGGATGGGGGACAGGAGGGTGGCCTGGGCTGATCCATGTGGGCAGGAGCCACCCAGGCGCTGCAGGTAGGAGCCGTCGGCAGAGCAGACTGGAGAGAGGCGGCGGCAGGGAGAGATGATGGGAATATGGATGAAATTAGAACCGATGTTTAGCTAAATTAAGCAACAAAATACATTTCCTTTTGTATTTCCGTCATGGCTCAGCCAAAGAAAGCTGGCTGTGGCTTCCTACAGGGCCACATGATGACAGTGGGTGTGGGCAGTCTTGGACGGAAGCGTACCCTTTCCTGGGAAGCTGCTCCCAGCCCTTTCTGGCTTCAGGAAGGAGCCCAGCTGAGCCCAGGCATGAAGATGACAACCCTGTATCTGAGAGGGGGGAAGAGCATTTTGGACAGACAGAACAGTGTAGATGGTGCAGGGAAGCCTTCCCTCCTCTAGTCCAATTTGAAAACTCCATCAAAGCTCAAGAAGAGCAGATGGAGAACAAACGTAAGCTCAGTGCTCCTGTCCTGAAGAACTGGCAGCAGGACTTATTTGCAAAGCTTCTCCTTGGTCTCTTCTGTGAAAACACTTTCTATTTTTGGTAAGAAATAGGTTTAAACCTGGGAGAAAAAAGTGCTTGTGTGGGTAGGACAAAGTGGAAATGCAGTGGTGACATGAGACAGCCACGGGCATGCGGCCAGTCCTAGGATGCTGCAGTGCTTGGGCTTTCTTCTAGGACTAGGTTTTTAGAGGTACTGAATTCACAATGAAGTCAATTTATTGTAGATAACTTTCAATGCTAATCATTCTCTCTCGTCCTTTGGCAGGAATTCAGGCTCACTTAAATATTTTGTTGTAGCATTTGTATGTGACGTGGCCGAACTAGTTTTAGAGTTAGTCACAACTGGTCTCCCACTCTCCCTCCTTCGGCCCAGAGACACTTGGCAGTCTTCCCTTCCGGAAAGCTCAGTAGAGCCATAAAGCTGTAACACCACTTTTGTCTGGCTTCTTGTTTTTCACTGAGCCATAGCTGCTGTCTGCTGAATGGCTTTGAGTTACTCACACAAGAGGGTAGAGGTGAACGTGCGTATGTAGAATTGAATCAGTGTGAGATACGACTCTGCATTCACAACTAGCTGTAACAAACTCAAACGGCTGCTTTTATAATTCATGAAACCATCTCAGTGCCTGGTGGAGTTTAGGCCAGGTCCACAGCAGAGTCTGCTGGTCTAGTCAGGCTGGTCTTTCTGTGAAGCCAGTGTGCAGTTTCCTTGAACTGCCTTGGAGTTTTTGAGGTTATTTTGTGTTGCCAAAATGCGCAGACCTCGGGTTTTCAAATCACGTGGAACTCACTAACCGGACACTGCTGCGTGCCAGCAGGTTGGAGGTTTAGGTAAAGCACATGAAACATCTTTCCATCCAGGCCTGTGTCTGGAAGGAAGATTTCTATCAGCATAATCACTGGAATAAGCTCCCAGTCTTTTCAAGGCTGACTTCAGATGTTAGCAAAATAATGCAGGAATGCACTCAGTATGTTTTGGCAGCCTTCTCCTTTCATAAATCTAAATATTAAAAAAAAAGGCGCTTTTTCTGAAAAACATATGTTTGAAGGTGATCCCAGATAATGTGTTTTAGGAGTCAGATCCATCCAGCCCCAAGAGGAGGGAATCCCCAAAAACACGAAGTGTGGGTCTATCAGCAAACAAAAGATGTCTCTAGTGTGATTTGAAAGTCACCGGAAGTTGTATGATTTATAGGACGGAGTTGATGAACTTCATTTCGGGGCTTTTACTGAGATTTGGCCCATCATCCTGATGATTAATACAGCAGAGCTAGCTTCCTTCTCAGAATGTGAGCTCAGTCTGCATGTGTTTCGCTCACCAAAACAGTGCTGGTTGCTATGAAATCCCCAAACAGCTTTTGTCAGTGAGTCAGTGTTTTCAGAGCTGCTTGCTATGGGAAGGGTTGCCTGCAGTGGCTTGGAAATGAAAAGACGTTTTGTGCAGAAACGCAGACAGGCTGATGCGTCCTGAATGCTCCTCCGGAGTCCCTGGCAGCCGGCCCTGGCAGCACCTACGCGCGGCTCCCTCGTTCTCCCCGCTGCTTTCAGCATCCGTTCCGGGCGCTCCGCAGCTCTTCAGCTGCTCTAGTGCAAGGAGGGTGTTCCGCATGCTTGTTCAACATGAGGGTCGTCCCTTGGCACCTTTGAAACTCTTCCCTGTCAGCACCTCGCTGCCTGGAAATGCTCGGCCTCTTCCTGCAGAGCGATGCGGAGCCAGCGGGGAATGGCAGCCCTTGCCACAGAGAGGGGTCTCTGGGGCAGCAGCAGGCTGCTCTCCTCTGCCCAGTTTGCTGCTGCTGGTGTTAGTTGGGCATCGCTGAGTGCTGGCAGGGCTCTGATTCTCCATCTCTCCCATGGCTTTGCAGGAGTTTCCCACCTGACAGCAAGCGGCTCCTACTCCTGGGTACCCATCTTGGTTGCTTCAGCTATGCCCAGTGGCCTTGCCCTCTCCTTGGCTTTTTGGGAGATCCTGAGCTTTTGTGTTTAAAAAAAAAAGAACCAAACAGCTCCGTGTGGAGATTTTCATGTCTAAAGCGCTGTGTGTGCAGGGAGACTCGTTCAGCTGCTTGGCTAGAACATACCTGGTAATGGAGCTATGGCAAAGGGCAGGGGCTGGTTCATTTGAAGACACTGGCTGTGTTTGTCAGGTTTACGTAATGACATGTAAGTCATTAAAAGATCAATTTACACTCTTGCAGCCTAAGTATCCATAAATGCTTCGAATCTGAGGTGTCACCTTTTTGCATTAGGAAATGTACACTGACTATACAGAGAAGAGGCAAAACTGGTGTGGTGTTGTGTTGAAAACATTTCCCCCCTGTAAAATCTGCCTTGCAATCTCTTATGCCTTGTGCATTGTTTTTCTCCTGTATTTGAACCGTATTTTATTTTGTGTGTGTTTAATACCTCCTGCCCTGCTCTGCAGACTCAGCTCATTCAGATGGTGATCTGGATGCTCCAGCATCGGCTCCTCATTCAGCTTCACACCTACGTCTGCCTCATGGTGCCGCCGAGCGAGGAGGATTTCCGAGCCCAAGACGAAGACCTGCCCTTTACTGCCAGAGTCGGAGGTCGAAGCCTAAGCACCCCCAATGCTCTCAGCTTTGGTTCTCCAAGTATGAGCATACTTTTCTCTGCTGTTCACACCACTGCTTGCTTTTAGAGCTTCTCTTAACTGTATCCAGATAATCCGGCCTTTGTAGCAGGACAGCTCATCTTTGCTGGTGTGCTTGCTAATTACAACCAGCTCCTCTTGGAGCTGGGCATTAGTGAAAGTCTTAGCAACTACAAAACTCTTGTGTTAAAAACAAAGCAGCGCATTATAAATTGCCAAGTTTTCATTTGGTCACATAAAATAGTTTCATTTTATCAGAGGTACTTTATTTCCAGAGATATTTTTTCCAAGTAACTTTCCACTTCCTTGGTCTACTAAAAAGTGACAGAGATGGTGCTCTGGCTGCACTGTTGTTACTGTGTGAACTTTGGTTATCAAGACAGGAAAAATCACTTGTGAGAATTTGCTTTAAATAGCTTTGGTTTCTATGGGCTGTAGAGCCACAGGTAAAGCAGAAAGCAGAGCTAGGTGTTGTTCTCAGAAAAGGCTGATTTCTCATTCCTGTGTTCTTTAATCTCCTCGCTGCCATTCTTCAGTGATTCTGGGAAGGCATTTCTACAGGAGTGTAAATCAAGCACAGTGCTGAAATCCCCAAACTTCCATGCCTCTGCTGCTATGAGCAGCATTCCCAGAATCCAAGCAACACTGGGGTTGGATATCAGGAGAGATTCTTTGTACAACTTTTTGCTTTACAGGAATCATGAATTAGGACAGAAATTTTGGAATATGAATCAGATAAGTCTGCAATCTGCTCACTCTGGCTCACTTGTGAGAGGATATTGCTTCTTGGCCTTTCCTTCTGCGTGCTCCCACCTTCTGTGCTGATAGGCTTTTCATGTTACTACTTCACTCTATTCCAGCAGGGCTGGCTGGGAATTTTCTTTTCAGATGTGTTTTATGGACTGTTTATAGGCTCCAGGGGTACAATTTTCCACATAAATAGATGACTTTGTTGAAACATTTGACTTTCCCATTGAGAAAACCCCTGTGTTGTCCTTTGACTAATTGCAGATACATGTATCATTTCCAGAGCCACTTTATTTGCTCCACAAATCTGAAGGATTTGATTGGAAAGACTGCATAGGAACTGACAGTCTTTAGCAAATGTTCAGCAAATGTTCTGTGTGTCTTCTCTCTTCCCCTTATAGCTAGTAGTGATGACATGACTCTGACAAGCCCTAGCATGGATAATTCCAGTGCTGAATTGATACCTGGTGGGGACTCGCCACTAAATAAAAGGATGACAGAGAATCTACTAGCAAGTTTGTTGGAACATGAGCGGGAAGCTATTCTTAATGTCCCTGCTGCCCAGAATCCAGAAGATCTCCGCATGTTTGCAAGGTAGGGAAGGAGGAGTGCAGAATGTAAACTTTTGTCTTATCTTTGCTGTGTTAGTGAACGATGGGTAGATACTCCAAGCAAATTCCACTGGCTTGGGATTTTGAAAGATAAAGTCTTTTGTTTTGTCTTCCCTTCATACCTATTTCATCTACACACATGAATTTTGACAATAACTAATACCTGTTTTGCAAGAACACTTGTTAACAAAGTCCTGGATGGGTGAAAAAGCACCAGGACATATGGCTGGGACTCGGCTGTCTGCGTGATGGTTTTCCTGGGTCTACACACAGTAGAGCTAAAGTTGCATAGCCTGAAAACACTTTTTAAACATCCACAGCAAAGACCCAGCCATGCTGATTCTGTCATTCCAGGCAAGCTATTCATCATTTTAAGGTGTGTAATTCCATGCAAATATGATGCATATAAAGCCAGCCTGAATGATTCTATGGAGCAGCCTGCAAAGGTTTCAGGATCTTTTTTGCTGAGATGAGCTGTTCACTTGGTTAGGCTAGTTAGCTCCACTGGTTAAAGTCACTGGGTTGTGTGATTAGTAGCATCCAGTATTATTTTTGCATCCGGTATTATTTTTGCAAATTTCAACACAACAAAGCCAAGACATGGTTCTACACTTTGTAAGAAGCAGAATGACCTCATTTCATAACCAGCCATCTGGGAGAAACGTGGGGGAGAAATACTTGATTTTTGGAAGCACTTCAGAATACTGTGGCATCACTGGAATGCAACTTTCACCATTTTTTTAAACTGACGAAAAAGAAAACCACCTGGGCAAAGTGCTGCAGTTTTTCCCATGCTTCCCAGGTTCAGTCCATAATCCCCTAAAAATCTAGTTCTCACCCTAGGATTGATATAGTCCAATAGCCTCAAGAGACTGAGCTGGTAAGGAAATACTTCTCTTATCTGCAGCAAAGTTTGCAGCTGTGCTGTGCTCTGCTCTGTTCCACACAGATCTCCCATGCTCATTGGAGGTTACTAGTCAGTTCTGAGTACTCTTCTCCTCCACCTTTTGTAACTCGGTTCATGCCAGCGTCTGTTACGAAGACTGTTCAGAGGTTGTTCCCTGTGTGGCAACCCATCGGCCATTTGAGAATTTGGAAAATGTTTAATTCTCATTAGCAAATAAGTGCTTACTAAACCTGTGAGAAAGAAAGACGAAAACAAAAACAAAGTTGGTGATATCTTTGGATAGAATTTGTGGGGGAGGTTTTGGACTGGCTTAGTGGTGATGCAGGTTCATAGCTGTGCTTGGCAGAGGATTCTGGATCTCGCTGTCACAGAATGGTTGAGGTTGGAAGGAGCTGTTAAAGATCAGTTAGTCCAACTCCCCATCTTGAGCAGAATCAGCTAGAGCAGCTTGTCCAGATGGCTTTTAAATATCTGCAAGGATGGAGACTCCACAGCCTCTCTGGGCAGCCTGTTCCAGTGCTCTGTCACCCTTGCAGGAAAAAAGTTTTTCCTTATGTTCGGACAGAACTTCCTGTAATCCAGTTTGTGCCCCTGACCTCTTGTCCCGTCACGGGGCGCCTCTGAGAAGAGTCTGGTCCCACCCTCTTTATTCCCTTCAGATTATTTGTGCTCATCAATAATGTCCTCCCGCAGTCTTCTCCAGGCTGAACAGGCCCAGCTTTCTCAGTCTTTCCTCATTTGAGATATGCACTAATCCCTTAATCATCTCAGTGGCCTTGTCCAAGAAGATACAATAAACAAACTGCAGGAATGGGTAGGGTGCTGTAAAAACAGAAATGTTATGGAAGGTGCTCATGGTTACCTGTGACTTGATGAGACACTGTAACTTGGAGGCTGTGGGTGTATTCTCTCTCCTGTACTGTAAACCAGCAGAACGTGAGGGTCTGGATAAGCCTATCACTCTTAATGAAAGTGTGAAAAATTGTGGAGAACCTAGTGCAGCAAATGAGCTGATCCTCTTCATTACCCACTAGATGTTACTGTGTCAGCTCTTCTTTTTGCTTCATTTGGAGGCACAGCAACATAATGAGGGCTGTGCTACAGAAAAAGCTCTGCTGTATCAGCTGCAACCCAGCACAAACTCTTGCTGTAAATGCACAGTTACTGCACTAAATACACCGTGACTGCTTTGCCAAGAATAATTTTTGTGCACTCAACAGGATGGTCCATCTTCAGAAGAGCAGTGAAGTTCAGCCTGGTACATCTTGCTGTGGTTGTGCCTCCGAACTCCTGCTAGCCACTCACAGCCAGGAGAAAGAGCTTGTGCCTCTCCATTACAATGCACAGTCAGGATTTGGAAGCAGAAATTTTAATGGGATCTATAGAATACTGAAGTTTGGCTCTGCTACTGGCTGCATTAACCCTCACAACATTCAGATCCAAGTTCTTTTCATAGCTGTTGCAGGAGGAGGGAGGACATGTCTCTCCAGAGGTAAACACGAGAAGCAGACAAGGTCTTTTTGAGCTACATCTTCAGGACAGCACACAAAGCTCTGTTCCTCACTGCACGTCTGATGGGGCTTTTCAGGACAATCTGAGGCTTCACTCATGGCTCCTCTCCCAAACTGAGAGTGACGAGTCACTCAGGAATTCTTTTCCTGCTCTTAAAAGTTGAGAGATGAAGGTCCTTTGCTCCTTTGAGGAATTTTCTTTGATTGCATTTGGTTGTGGACAGATCTACCAATAAATAGAAGTTGTTGTCCCCTTCTGCCCCAGGTTATAGCTTGGTAGATTCTAGTTGGACATTTCTGTCCCAGAAGGGTGGTGAAGCCCTGGACTGATTACCCAGATATGGGGATGGATTTTCATCCTTGGAGAGTTTCAGAGGTTGGCTAGGAAGAGCTACGGCATTGGCAATAGTCCTGCTGGAGCCGGAGGTTGGACCAGAGACTTCAACAGTCTCTTCCAGCCAGCTTTTTTTGTGATATTCTTTAATATCCTCTCTAGCTTTTATTGGAATGGAAAGTATTTCATCTTGATCTGTTATGAATCCAGACTCTTCCTGAGTATAGAGTGGATTTATTTATTGGAAAATTGCTTTGTCTGCATTGCCATCGAAGGCCAGCTCATAGGCACCTGCACTGAACACAGCGGTGTCGGAGGCTGAGACTAGGGACTACCACAGTGAGCAGCTTTGTACAGGGGAGAGAATAGGGAGATTTTAAAATCCCTTTTTTTTTTAAGCACTTTTTGAACAGTGATACAAGTTAGGGGAGGAGCTTTAGGCAAGACAGAAATAATAATACAGGGACCAGTTGGGGTTAGGCAGCATTTGATTTATCTTGGAAAATTGGAGCTGATACATCTGGGCTAAAATGAAAGGGATAAATCTAGGAAGCAGATTCTTTTCAGGGAGCGACCTGCTAGAAGTGATAAAGATGAGACCATTTCTGGAGGTAAAAGTCTGGGCAAGCTAATTCCACAGCCAGCTGAAACATGTGTCTGTAAAGAAGAAAATTCCAAGACCTGTAAGTGTTGTTAGAAATGATTGTTAATACCCTGGGAACATTTTTGACACATACACACACAAACCCCTGTGTTTCCTGCTACTGGTCACTGCTTGGGGTACTGGTTATCAGCGACCCAGGGGAGGGGACTGATTGGCCTGATTTAATTGCCCAGTGGGAGATGCTGCAGAAGGCAAACGCACAGCACGGAGAGTGGAAAGGTAAATATTACTGGAACTTGACTTCTGTTGTTTCTTTGTACTGCATATAAGAAGACACATCAGTAGTGCTCTACATAATGCGAACTTGAGAGCCAGAGGATGGACACGGCACAGAGGGAGGTTTGTGGTTTGTTGCTTGGTACCACGTGCCCGTTTTCCTCCGGGCTGCCTGTGACGAAGCTGCCTGAATAACAGCAAAGAGCCAGACAAGCATCAGTCTTTCACAGAAAGCATGAGACACCCCATCCTGCTTGAATATAGATTTGCAGATAGGCAGGAATACTCACTCCCAGGGATGTACGGTGACTTTTGCAGGCCACTCCTGCGAGAGAACTGCACTAAGGAATTGGAAAGCAGATCTTGTCATCCCCACTCATTTACTGTCATTTGGCTTGAAGTAACAGGTCAGCATATTCCTTAACTGTATCTGGGTATAGAAACATCAAAAAAAGCTGCTGAAGCTTGGAGCAGAATATGAGTGATGGGTGTTTAGTGTATATAGTAACACATGCAGGCACACATCTGTGTTTAGCTGGGGAAGAGATCCTGACATATGTGTTTGGGCTTTGACTGCTGGGAATATTTTCAACTATATGTGCAATATGGTCCCTGTGTTTGGGAGGTTGTTCAGGCAGTTCAGAGACTGAGCAGCAAACTAGGGCTTTCCCTGGGGGTGGCTCATGGTTTGTGCTGCAGGGGCTCTGGGGAACAACCCCAAGCAAGGGGTGACCTGCTGCCAAGGACAGGCTGCTGGGGGTTGTCCTCGACCCTCTGGGCTGGACTGTGCAGTACTGAGGTTGTCTGATGTCTGCGTTATTGTGTCCATACTCAGCACGGATGTCTCTGTGCTGCCCTTTCTTAAAGATATCGGGAATTACAGCAGCCATTGTGGTATTGGCTGACACCTCAAGGTTTGGGGATTCTTTGGAGACTTGACAACTCCCAGAACTTCTCTGTGGTGTCTGCGGTCAAAATTCCCATCAAGGGGAGACCTGGAGGGTGATAGGACTCGGTTCTCGTTGGGTGCACTTGCTTCTGGCCCTCGTGCCTCATTGCTCTCCTTCCCCACAGGCTGCTGCACTATTTCCGGGGCCGGCACCACTTGGAGGAGATCATGTACAACGAGAACATGCGCCGCTCGCAGCTGCTCATGCTGTTCGACAAATTCCGCAGCGTGCTCGTTGTGACCAGCCACGAGGACCCCGTGATTTCAGTCTTTCAGTCGCTCTTAAAATGACTCTTGGCAGGGAAAGGAACCTGCTACCCTTTTGATATGTCTTTCTAAAAGATAAGACTCAAATATAAATGAGCCGAATGGTCAGTTCTCTCTTGCCACGTGACCTGCAGCAAATTCTTCCCCTCTGCTTCAGTCTCCCATCTGCTCCTGTGAGATTTCCCTTCTGAGCTCCTGAATGGCTGAGCCTGGGCTATGGTGTGAGGTGCTGCAGGGCCTGCTGCAAGACTGCGCTCTCGCTCAGGAGGGATTCATGGTGAGGAGCTACCGTTCTGCAGCGCTGCCCTGACCCTCCTCCCTTCCCGAGGCTTGCGAGAGCGCTCCAAGAAGGTTCTTCCTGCCACGTTACGCACAGTCCTGTCCCTTTGGTGGCTGCTGGTGCACCGGAAAGGCTTTCTGTGCTTGTCACCACGCTGGCTGCTGGATCACTGAGCTGTGAGTACAGTTCATGAGCAGGAGGTGCCCGCGCTCCCACGGCAGCGCCTGCACTCAAAGGCAGGACTTTTAGCAAAGCGTCCCTGGACCCTGAGGAATTCTGTTTGCTCGTCATTATCTGGCACCAGCGAGGACATAGGTAGGAATGAAAGGTGTCACATGAAAACAGGTTCATGGATGAGAGTAACTGGTTCACTGTGATACTGTGTTTTACTCCCTGCCCCAATAATGTAATTGCTAATGTCTGTAGGGGCACTGTTGTCACCAACTGTGTGTTCCTGCTTGCGGGATACTTTTTGCACATGGTGGAGGGAGCTTAGTTGTTGAGCAGGAACCCACTCAACGTAGTTGCTGTTACAGAATCCTAGATGCAGGTTAATTGCCATGCAGGCCACCCAAAGCTCCCCCCATTGCTACTTTTCCACCTCAACTCAGCCTGGATCCATTCACAAGGAAGGGACCAGCCTTCAGTGCCCCAAATGGACCCCATTTCAGCAGTGTGCCCCACAGATAAAAATCCCCGCACATGTTGTTCATGGTGATAAAGTACATTTATTGTTAAAACCTCCAAGCCATCATCCTGTGCTCGCCGCTGCCAGGATACAGCCTGAAGCTGGTGTCCTGCTCTTTGGCACCCCTGCAGGACTGGTCAGTTCAAGGAGGAGGAGCTCAGTGCTGCCATCTCTCTCTCCACCTTCTTGTCAACAACACTCACATATTTGTTGCCTCTTAAATAAAACCTCAGAGGTTTCTGTGCCCACTCTCCCTTGTTGCCAATACCAATCCTGGCCGTAGCTACCACGTCGTGCTCTCCCGGCGGTTCAGGCCCAGACACCATCCAAATAGCTGCATCTTGAGCCAGATCCCTTTGGTCAAAGCCCTTATCGATGCCGAAGGCCTGGCAGAGCCTGGAGGGCCCATTGCACAGCTGCCAGTCCTTGGGCGCCTTCGCGGGCGCCTTCCTCGACGCGCTGCGCAGCGCTCGCATCGCGTCCAGGTTCTCCAGAGGCTCCAGCGAGCGAAGCAGGACTGCAGCCCCCTCCCCTGTGCAGAACAAGAACAGGGTGTCAGTGCAGGGGTAGCAGCAGCTGGGGACAGGGACAGGAGTTCCCCAGTGCAGCTGCGGTGCTGGTGACCACCTGTAGGATGCAGGGCTGCAGTGGCAACCAGCTCACACACCACTGCAAGCACAGGCATCCCACTGCAGCAACACATTCTGCTTAACCATAGGCTAATTGAGACAAGACAGGGATCAAGAACCTCTTGGGTTTTCGCCCCAGTTCCAGTCGAAGCACTGGAATTAGCTCTGAGCCTGTTAACCCCATGGTAACTGCAGCCCCTCCCCTATTCTGAATAGGTTTAAGAAAAAAAAATGGTTTAAGAAGGCTGTTCTAATTCAAATAGGAAACAGGGATTACAAATTTAAACATTCAGTTCTAGATCTAACAGTAGGGGAGATGAACTTGGCTTGGTGCAATTACATAGTTACAAGTGGCTTTACATTCCTGGCCATAAGATGCAAGGCCAGTGAATGCCATGTCAGCAGAGATGACGTTTCTGTGCCAAGAGATGAAGGACATGGCCACAATCTTCTCTCCAAGCTGATTTATCACCCTGGCATTTTGGAAACACAGGCTTCCCACAGCTCCTGTGATCAGCTGCTCCCTGGAACTCCGGTGACAGCAAAGCAAAGGTGCAGCTCTGAATACCAAAACTGTCCCTGGACAAGACACGCCAGCCTACGTGTGACATAAACGCTTCCCAGGGGGTTTCCACCAGACCACAGGGGACGGCTTCTCGTGACCCCGCGGGGGCGAGCGGAGAGCCTGGCACAGGGGGCTCTGCTGCCCCACAAGCAGCCCTTGAGACTCTCCCTCTCCAGCCTCAAACATCTGGAGCCATGTTCGAGCCTGGCAAAATCTTCTTAGATAGATCTCGCAGGACCTGCAGTTTCTAAAAATACAGCCTAGCTCGGATTTGGTACAAGCCCCACACTGAATTACCCTCCTGGGCTCCCAGCTGAGCCTACCAAGTGGGAGCAGCATTTTTTGCTTTGAGGTGTGGCTGTTGCCTCAAACCTGCTGCCCTTGGTGCAGTCAACAGTTCCCTTCCAACAGCTGTCAGCAATCTGTGCAGGCACTCCCTCCTCTAACCAAGGGGATTGATGCTAATCTGGCAGCCAAAAGCAGCTGCTCTGGCTACAGAGATTTAGAACTCCAAGGTCATTTGAGATTTTTAAGAACATACTGCACGTCCTAATTCTGCTTCCCATCCATGCACAGGGAAACGTCCTCTGCCTAAGGATGATGTCTCACTTGCCAGTAGCAGCTGTGTGATGCAGAGCAATTGCTAACTACACCGCTTGCCTTCATCCCTCCCTCACAAACACAAGTGGAAACTGTGGTTACATTAGAACTAAATGGAGTCCCCGGGAGTTTGTGGGGAGCGACACGAGTGTTGGATGCACGCGTGCTCACAGAGCATCTGCACAGCAGAGGCAGGAGGCACCTGCCTCCGCCTGCGCTTCGTGCCCTTCCAGCAGGCAGTTTTCACAGTGTTTGGCTGTGTGTGACAGATGCCCCCCCTGCTCTGAGGCTCTTCATATTGAGCAGCAGCACTGACGTGGGGAAGCAGGGCAGACCGCACGCAGGATACATGGCCAGGAGCACAGGGATGCCGGATGAGCTGCTGCCTTCTCGGGCCTGCCTGCCACCCAAGGGCTGGTTCAGGCCCTGCTCTTCAACTTTGGCAGTTTTACTCAGTTCCTAAAGAGCAGTTGAATCCTTCCAGCTTGCTTCTGCCTGCCGTTGCTTGACCATCCCTTCTCCCTCTGGGCAGCCTGCGGGAGTCTGGATTCAGAGGCTGTCTGACAGGGATGCGGTCACCAACGCGCCAGCAGCAGCAGCCCGAGCTCTCTGTTCCCATCCGGAGATGCTTTAACCCTCGTGCCAAAAGGAGACACTTTGGATCAGAGCTGAAAACTGGGGTCTAACAGCAAGGCAGAAGGTAGTTCTCACCCAGTGCAGCTAGAAATCATAAAACGATAGGGATGTCCCACACCCCTTGTGCAGCTTGCTGCTCCTTCCCGGGCCTGGCTCCAGCTCTCATTCTTGGAAACAGCTCTTGGCCGCCAGAGAGAAGAAAATTCTCTCCTCTCTCCACCCATCTGACTCACTGCTCCCAAAACACTTCCTTGAGAGCCCGAGCCCAAAAGTTATGGGGAAGTCCATGCCCTATGACACTGGGTCTGGGTAGAGAATCACCAGATTTTAATAGCTATTACTTCAAGTCTGTTAACAAAACGCTCAGATTGGCAAACTCCAGATGAACAAATCACAGCGAAGCCAAAGAGAGGCTTGACGTGGCAGTTACTGTCTTCCTGCAGGGAGGCCACCAGACGTCCCTCAGCCCTCCATGGGCTGTTGGTGCTCAACCGGCCCTGCAGTTGCCAGGATATGCGATAGGAATCGCACACACTGAAAGACAACTGTAATATTTTTATAAAAGCTTTTCTTCCTCTGTCAGCTATGATTTCTCCCAATTATATTGGTGCGTTCCAAATCCATACACTGATTAATGCATTCTATGCATGCAGTAGAATTGGAGCCAGCAACAGGATGACCTTTCACAGCTAAAATCTCACATGGTTCTCTAGCTTGGTGATGTGTACACAGATTTCCACATACTCGGTGACAGAATATTTTGAGACTAACCTTCACCTCGTTATGGTTTTATAAATGCAAAAATAACAGTCAAGAGAAATGAAAATGCAAACAGCTGGAATCCACTGAACGCTCCAACAAGGTGGCAAAGCAATGGGCTACAGCTGAAGGGCTTCTGGTGCCTCTTGGCAGCATCAAGCTGGGCTGGGGACATCTGGGCTGAGGACATTGGCTTTGATCTGACCTGAATTACAGTGACGGTGTCTCTCAAGGTTAAACTGTTGCTGTTGCAGGTGCTCTGCCCAGCGCCTCTGCCAGCCCCACTTTGCTTGTCAAGCACCTTTTCCCACACGTGGGTGACACCGCAGAACATTATTGCACCTGCTGTTAAAGAGTGCTGCGAGCTGAGACATCAAAACAGGGTAGCTGCAAGGACCAAATATCCCCTTCCTGACAAAGCTGAGCCGCGTGGAGCTAGGGGGAGGCAAATAGAGCTCGACACTTCTCTTATAGACCTCTCATATCCTGAGCTGATGAAGTGCCAAGCAGGCCCCAGCATGATTCCAGTCAGTGTCTGGCTGCTTTCTACACGAGGCTGCTGCAGCGGGACAGTTGGTGCTTGCCAGCTCCCAACGGCGTGCGCGTCTGGGACATGTCCTGAGCAGCGCTTATGGTAGGGAAGGAGCAGCACGGCGACAGCCCTGCACTTTGATCTCTCTCCAGCAAAAAGGCTGCTGCTTTTATTAACTTACAGCTCCAAATCAGCACACCAGCCACTCACTGAGGAGCCTGAGGAGCAGCAGGACAGCTGTCACTGAAGAGGATGTCCTGGTTCTCTTAACTGCTTCCCCTCCTCCCACAAGGATCCGGAATTTAACCGGCATGAGGCCTTGCCTGGCCTACAAACTAGGTGGCTTCATCTATGCCAGCACAGTGACAGGCAGGGACACTGACAACCTGGGGACTAACAGTGCTTAATGCAGGACGATGGTTTCAACACAGAAAGGGCATTTCCAACCCATGGGCAGAGATCACCCCTTCTGCAAGGAGCTGTGCTCCTGTACTGAACCCTGCAGAGTACAGAAAACTCATACCAAGCCCTCAGAAAGCTTCCCTTTTAACCACTTAATGACCTAAAAAAGTAATCAGTTACCTAAAGGTCAGCTTTTCAAAGAGACACAGCTCAGGATCTGATAGTCTTGGTGCCCAACACCAGCCGGAGCACAAATACTGCCAGGTCCTGCCTTACCACACACTGTCTCAGGCTCTTGCCCCATGTCACCATATCAGGACAGCAGGGAGGCTCGGGGGCTGCGTTCATGTCTTTATAGCACGAGAAGGTCCCGGTAAGAGAGCTAGGAAATTAGTAGCAATAAATTAGTTCTATTTTTACAGAATGTTTTCTCTCTGCTTTGCTGCATTGAGACCCACTGTCTTATGCATTCCTTAGGGAATAGGGAGGCTGATAGCATTCAGGGGAGACTGTTTTTCTAAGACAACAAGAAAGATGTAAGAGACTAAATATGGAGCTAAGAGCTCTGTTAAACTCCATCAAATTCCCAAACAGCCATACCTTCACAGGGTTGGCCTGCAGCTACTTAAAAAGAGGGATATGAAGTGTTTTTGTTGGCTTCAGTCACGGAGAAAGCAGATCCTAGAGGCGCTGCCTGAAGCACTGTGAAAGAAAGTTCCTAGTATTCACCCTATTCTGGGTATATTTAGGGATTTCTCTGCACTGAAAACTTACCTTCTCCGTTGGAGAGAGGAAAAAACAAAAAGGCTATTTAATTTATCTGGAAACAGCCCGGAGTACCCTGATATGGGAATTATCTGTGCTCTGCTATGCAGTCAGAAAGGAGGCAGGAAAGAAAACTTGCTCAGTGAGCACTGGGCTTAGAATTTCTCAGATCTAACAGCAATTCCTGTTGCTTTTTTGGAAGGAATTTCTGAGGGATTCTCAACCATTAACTATGGGTAAAGTATTCTCTACACTATATTGAAATGTTTGGAAAAACAGAGCTCAAACTTTCTTTCCAAAATCTTTTAGTGGAGATCAAAGATTTTAACTTTACCTCCTTATTATTCTGATTGAGGGCAAGCGAGTGCAGCACATGTGCATTCCAGAAACATTCTGTCTTAAAGGAGGGGAGGAAAATGGGGGCATTTCTTATTACTTCTTGGTAGCTTGACCGGTGATGGAAAAAAAAAAAGAAAAAAAAAAAGGCACTATGCCAGCATGGTTTAACTTAGCTGCAGTTATCAGCTCCTTCCACCCTTCACTATCTTCACGCATCCACAGACACACAAATCTCCTAAAAACTGGTCCCAGACAAACAGCCTGAGATTCTGTTCCAATTCTCCTGGTATTTCTACTCCCATCCATCTTTCTGAGAATTCATTACTGATTTTTGGTTTGCACTAGCGTTAAACATCTAAAGCTGCAACAGATCTCAGTTAAGCTTTGTTAAAAATAATATATGATTGCAAGAGTAGTTTGAGACAATTTGCTTAATGGCGAAACAGTGTCTTTTCAAGAAAGACTCATTGAAAGAGTCTCTGAGAACTGGCTGTCTGGGACGCTGCTGTTGTAGAAGATGCTAAATGCACATTCATCTCCCGAAATCAACCTCGAGTTTTCCCCTAACCCTCACATCATTCAGTCTGAACTTTGCTAACACACAGGTCAAAGTCAGAATATCTCCAGGCTAAAGAAAGGGTCATTTTGTGTTTGTTTGAAGACCATCATCAAAGAACCCACAAAAGACCTTTACCCTATTCCCTTCTCAGCTCCTCCAATTTGCAACCCCAGCAATACCATAGATATTCTCAGATTCAAACCCCAACTCTTAAATAAAGCAAATTGCACTGCTGTCTTGATTTCCGTGTGCGTGCCTAGTCTTATTCTCCTCCTCCTCTCCATCTATAGAAGGATACAACAGAGCTGGAAGTGACTCAGCAACTGGCAACCAGGATGATCAAAGTTATGGACTGGCTTCGGAGGGGAAGCCTAAGGAAGAAATAACTAAGTAGGCTCAAAATCTTCAGCCTGGAGGACAGCTGAGAGGGAGATATGAAAGATCCAGGGAGATCACAGGAGGCAGGAGATGATATATGGGAATGGATGTAATCACCCCACGGTCTCTGCTGTTTAACTCCTGCTGTTCTGCAGCTATACACTGTTGATATCCAACCAAAGTGCCGTCTGGCTCTGGGATGCCACTAGGAATGTTTCCTTGGAAAACGAAAAGGGTTCTCTCAGTAATCTGTGACACCCAAGTGACATCCTCATGAATTATGTTGTTCATTATCTCTTTATAGTCTCCTGGTCAGTCACTCAGCCTTCCAGGTTTTAATGGCATCTCTACAGAGACCCTGAACTACTCAGATATTTTGCATCAAATTCTGGGCACAAAGATGATGAAAACATGGCATCTCCACAGAGACCCTGAACCACTCAGATATTTTGCATTAAATTCTGGGCACAAAGATGATGAAAACAGCCACATCAGAAAATCATGTTACAAGGGACCAAGCTAAGGGACAAAGCTAAGCTACAACAGACATTATATTTTAACAAGACTCTGTATGTAGCACATTGTTCACAAAGGACTATATTCACATTTTCTTCAGTGAAAATTACCTTGTGTTTTCTACATGGCCACAGCAATTCTAAACGAAATTCCCAAGATCTGTTACATACCCAGAAAATCAAACATTTCTGCCTTCTCCCAAGGTGGGCCGATGCAACCACAAGAGATGACTTCCTCAATCCTCCTTCACACTGACAGCACCCGGACAAGCTCCTTCTCTATCTAGGTGAAGCTGGGCAAAGCATCTCAGATGGAAGATGGTTCCTCAACAAATTGTTTCTTTCAACAAATTGGCACATGAGCAACTAAGCTGAAGGAGTAACTCCTGCTTATGTAGGTGCACCCAGTGATGTGTGACATGTACAGCGGTGCTATCTACTTCTGTGTGTTCCTCACAAAGCTGCTGGTGAAAGCTGTACTTCGTGTCAGCATAGCCGTAGCAATAGCAGGCTAATGGAGAATACTCTGTAGCAAAAATCAAACTAATTCCATCGCAGCAGTGAACTGTTTGGCTCATTTCTTACAATGCTAAACACAGAGCCGAAGGGGAAATTTCACAAAGCATAAAGTTTAAGGAAATCTTTTTACAATTCAAAGACTTTTTTTTAAAATAAGAACTATTAACCGTAATATTTTGAACACTAAAAATTGCATCCTGAATAAAGACCCGCTCTGCTTTTGTTATCTGAGCAGATTTGGCAGGGACGTAGTAATGGAGTTCCCATGTGCTCACCCACGAGGCACTGTCACTTAGGAAGAAGGCGCTTCCCCCGCCGTGTAACCTGGCACCGCTCTGCTGCTTGGCTCTTGCCCAAAGCCAAGACCTGAGGATTCATGGTCACTGTTACAACATTTGCTATCCACTTGGAAGTACACAAACAATTCTTTTTTTTTTTCCAAGTTGCATCTTTGTACTGGTGAAAAAGAAAATAATCTTTTTTGAGCTTTTTGAAGCTAAATGAATATTTGTTGTAAGAAATACCTCCTGCCATTTCACTATGTCTATGTAACCCATAACTTTATTACAAGGCAAACTGTCATTCTGAGAGGAAATAGAGAAAAATAGGTTTAAAAGTAACACCTGTTTGTTAAGAGGAGCTGTGAAAGAAGAGTCTCAGTAAATGCCAGAATCATTTGCGATCTTCCCCACCAGTGCTGATCCCAGCTCCCCTGTTAGCGAGAGGTAGATTACATTATCTTGAGAATAATAAAACGGATTAAAGATTCTGCATTGGTGTGTTTGTTACAGATACATCAAAGCACCTAAAATGCTCCTGTAGTAACTCTTTGACTAAGCTTGGGACATCTCAGACCTTTTTGTTCTTCCAGCCTCTGAGGATAAAGATAAGCAACAGAAGACTTTCTTGTCATGTCAAGAGACACCAGGATTTAGGCCCTTACTAGACTCTACATTTATTTCTAAACAGTAACCTTTAAGAAGCAAAGTTTGCTGAATCATATGAATAGGGCAGCAGTGCAGGTCATCAAATCCTCCATCCTGCTCCCACTTTAAATTCCAGTCACAGATCTGTATTTTTGTGTCTCAGTGGCTCATACAGCTCCAGCTAGGACCAAAACTCATCCGGCTACTCACTGTGAAGCCAGAGATGAACCTGCTTGCAATTTTAAAGCTCACATGTTGTCCATAGTTTCATGCTTTATTCAGATCCCAAGGAAAAGATCGTGGTAGCAAGTCACTGACTTCACAGAGTCCCCAGGAACTCACAAGTGGCTGTAACAGGGTGAGCG